TCAAATATCTCTCTGTCTCATCTGTTCTTTTATATATATATCTGAACCGTTATATATGGTTCTATCTATCTATCTCAGTCTATCTTCATATTTGAATCATCTATCTATCTATCCTCAGTCTTTTCCATATCTATCAGGTCTCTCTGTCTCAGTCTGTTCATATCTAAATATTAAAATCATTGTTCATCCATCCATATCAAGTCTTTATGTTATCTATCTATCTGTCTTTTTTTATCTGTTGTCTATCTAAATCCATCTGTTATCAGTTCATATCTATTTCATCTCTCTATGTCCAGTTTGTTCCTATCTATTTATCTGTCTCAGTTTTCGGTTCATATCTATCTGTCTCTATCTATTTATCTATCTATCTATCTATCTATATATCTATCTATCTATCATCTATCTATCTCAATCTGTGCATATCTATCTATCTCTTAAATGTCAGTCTGTTCAATATCTATATATCTATCTATATTTCATATATCTATCTATCTATCTATGTATCCGTCAGTTCTATAAATCTAAATATCTATCTATCTCCAGTCTGTTTCATTCATATCTATCTAAATCTGTTCTCTCATATATATATATATTCCATGTATCTATCTAAATTTCTCCATATTCATATCCATGCATATCCATCTATCTATCTAGTGTATATATCTTTATATATCTATCTATATATCTATCTAATCTATATATCTATCATATCTATCCATCCATTTGAAGTCATCCATCTAACAGGATCTCATCTCAAGAAACCTTCTGTCATATCTATCTATTTGCCTAAGTCTGTTCTATCTATCTATCTATCTCATCTATCTATCTATCTATCTATCTATCTCAGTCTGTTTCATATCTATCTATCTATCTCTCAGTCTGTTCATATCTATCTATCTATCTATCTATAACAGTCTGTTCTATCTATCTATCTATCTATCTCAGTCTATCTATCTATCTATCTCATCTATTCATCTATCTATCTATCTATCCTATCTATCAGTCTGACTGTACTATCTATCTAACTCAGTCTGTTCATATCTATCTCAATCTATCTCCTATCTCAATATCAATATCTATCTATCTATCTAGTCTGTTTCTATCTATCTATCTATCTAGTGGATCCATGATCTATCTATCTATCTAGTCTATCATCTCCTATCTATCTATCTATCTATCTATCTCACACTGTTCATATCTATTTATCTATCTCTATCTGTTCTATCTGAGGATGCAATGTTCATTATCTATCTATCTATCTTTTCTGTTCTAGATCTATCTATCTATCTCAGTCTGTTCATATCTATCTATCTATCTATCTCAGTCTTATTTCATATCTATCTATCTATCTATCTCAGTCTGTTCATATCTATCTATCTATCTATCTATCTATCTTAATCTATCTATCTATCTATCTATCTATCTCTATCTATCTATCTCAGTCTGTTCTATCTATGGATCTATCTGTCTCAGTCTGTTTCATCTATCTATATCTATCTATCGCAGTCTGTTCATATCTATCTATCTATCTATCTATCTACATTTCATCTATCTCGACATCTATCTATCTATCTATCTATCTCAGTCTGTTCATATCTATCTATCTATCTATCAGTCTGTTCCATCCAAATATCTAACACTCTATCTATCTCCTCTGTCTTTTTCGGTATCTATCTATCTATCTATGGGTCTGTTTCTATCTATCTATCCATCTATTATCCATCTCGAAGTCTGTTCATATCTATCTATCTCAGGTCTCAGTCTGTTCACATCTAATATCTATCTCCAATCTCGGTGTTTTTATCTATCTATCTATCTATCTATCTATCTGTATCTACAAATCTATTATCTATCTCATCCATCTATCTATCTCTCAGTCTGTTCATATCCATCTATCTATCTATCTCAGTCTCTGTTCATATATCTATCTATCTTTCATGCTTCTGTTTCATATCTATCTATCTATCTATCTATCTCAGTCTGTTCTATCTATCTATCTATCTATCTATCTATCTCAGTCTGTACATATCTATCTATCTCTATCTCTATCATATATATATATATCTTTCACGCTTCCTGTTGATATCTATCTATCTATCTATCTATCTATCTAATGTTCATATCTACATATCTATCTATCTATCTGGTCGACAGATCATTCATCTCTATCTAGTCTGTTTATCTATCTATCTCACATCTGTTTCATATCTGTTTCTATCTATTCTATCTATCTATCTATCTATCTATCTATCTATCTATCTATCTATCTCAGTCTGTTCATATCTATCTATCTATCTGTCTCAGTCTGTTTAATCTATCTATCTATCTGTCTATCTATCTATCTATCTATCTATCTATCTATCTATCTATCACATCTATCATTTCATCTCTGAGATCTATCTATCTCCATCATCCATCATATCTATCTATTTATCTGTTCACATCAAAAATCTCATCACAATCTGAAAACATCTATTCATCTATCTATCTATCTATCTAT